AACCAACTGAGCCACCCAGGCGCCCCTATTTTATTATTTTTTAAAGATTTTATTTATTTATTTTGAGAGAGAGTGAGAGAGATGAGGGGCAGAGGGAGAGGGAGAGAGACTCTCAAGCAGACTCCCTGTTTCCCCGATGAGCGCGCAGCCCAATGGGGGGCTTGACCTCATAAGGAACAGGGGTACTTTTAAATGGACTAAATTTTGAAAGGATTTAAGAAACCTGTGACATGATTTATCATAAGCACTTCTTACTATATTATCAATAATAATTTTCTCTTCTGCTTTTTTAGCTTTTGAAAGCCTTCGCATACACCATGTCTCCTTTCCCACAAGAAATCCGAATTGTCTCTCCATTTATCAGATAAGGGACCTCACCTGATGTAATTCTTATGTCACAGAATTAATGCTCTGTGACTCCCAGTCAGACCCCGGGGTATTTCTGTTACCAGGAATTCAGGATTTCACCCATTCTTAATTGCCTTCTCCTACCCAAACTGGCCATTTTGGCCTCTGGAGGGATGGCCCAGAGAAGGAACATTCTGTTTATTCTCAACTGGCAACGGCTTGAGGTGCTGCACTAGGATCCGGGCCTTCCAGGAGCTCGCAGTCAGAGAGAGCAGTGATACTGGCAGGAATGAAGAGGAGAGAGAGAGAGACACTGGTCCCTGGTCGTCAGATCACCCTGGGCCCCTCTTTTTAAATCCTCGTTGCCCTTGTAATTTCTGTTGTGTGTGGCTGTCTCTGGTAGACTGTGTGCTCCATTACGGTGGGGACCATGTCTGTCATTCACTGCTGAAGACCCCCAGTGCTTAGCACATGCCTGGTGCATGATCAATATTCTGGTCCAGAGGTGGAAATACTTGTTGAAGGAAATAAATAAGAGCAAGCTTTCCTGTTCAGCCAGAAGTCTTATGGCTACAAGGTGAGGGGCAGGCAACCAAATCTAGATTCTAAGATTTGTGCCACATGAATTTTCACGGGTCTTTGTCATTTTTTTAAAAAGATTTATTTATTTATTTGAGAGAGAGAGGGAGAGCACGCCAAGAGCAAGTGGGGGGAGGGGCAGAGGCAGAGGGGAGACAGGCAGAGAAGCAGACTCCCCGCTGAGCACGGAGCCCCAGGTGGGGCTCCACCCCGGCATCCCAAGATCATGACCTGAGCCGAAACCAAGAGTCAGAAGCTTAACTGCTGTGCCACCCAGGCGCCCCGGGTCATTATCATTTTTAATAAGTTTCATTATATAGAAAAATAATTATAACCGTAACCATTGTGTGTGCACATGGGTGTTTGTGTAAGACCAACTCTTCTGCCTCCACTTCTCAGAGGAGTTTGCTACTCCTGCTAGCATGGGGACAAAGCGGTGGTGAAATGGAACGCCCAGAGAGTGGGGAGCTGTGTTCCGGGGCAGGAAAGGAGCGGGGCTGTCAGTTCCTCTCTTAGGGTATTGCACAGACCTTCACTTTTGCTTTTGGCTTCAGCACTGACCATCAAGGAAATGGCTATTTTCGAGGTTGATCTAAGTCAAGGGCAATGTGCCTTTGAACGTCAGTTTGAATCTGAGAAGCAGCATCCGTGCTGATCTTTCCCACAACTCAGTGGCATCGCTGTCATTGCCCAGAAAGGATAACAAGACCCGTGCAGACTTGAAGAGCTTGATGACAGGTTAGTAAGTTTGGGTTTTACAGATGAGAAAACTGAGGCCCAGAGAAGTTACTATATATTTTACACCATGGTCCACTAGACTCTTGGAGGTCTCTTGTCCTGCTACCTAGAATTTCTGTATTTATATTAAGCTATTAGGCCAAAATTCCAAATTTTAAAGATACCACAGAAGAAAATTAATAAATTGTAAAGAATTCTTCCTTTTAGCCTTTGGACCCAGTTGAGGAAATTCCACCTTCATACTTTTCTCTGTGAACGGACCATTCTCTTTGTTTAGGTCCTTCGGCTCTGAGAATTTGCATCCGTATCACTGGAAGAATGGTCTTTTTTTTTTTTTTTTAATTTTATTATGTAATATTAGTCACCATACATCATTAGTTTTTGATGTGGTGATCCACGATCCATTGTTTTCGTATAACACCCAGTACTCCATGCGGTACATGCCCTCCTTAATACCCATCACCGGGCTAACCAATCCCCCCTCCCCCCTCCCCTCTAAAACCCTGTTTGTTTCTCAGAGTCCATAGTCTCTCATGGTTCATCTCTCCCTCCAATTGCCCCCCCATTTTTCCCTTCCTTCTCCTAATGTCCTCCATGCTATTCCTTATGTTCCACAAATAAGTGAAACCATATGATAATTGACTTTCTCTGCTTGACTTATTTCACTTAGCATAATCTCCTCCAGTCCCATCCATTTGATGTAAAAGTTGGGTATTCATCCTTTCTGATGGCTGAGTAATATTCCATTGTATATATGAACCCCATCTTCTTTATCCATTCATCTGTTGAAGGGCATCTCGGCTCTTTCCACAGTTTGGCTATTGCGGACATTGCTGCTATGAACATTGGGGTGCATATGGCCCTTCTTTTCACTACATCTGTGTCTTTGGGGTAAATACCCAGGAGTGCAATTGCTGGGTCATAGGGTAGCTCTATTTTTAAATTTTTGAGGAACCTCCACACTGTTTTCCAAAGTGGCTGTACCAACTTGCATTCCCACCAACAGTGTAAGAGGGTTCCCCTTTCTCCACAACCTCTCCAGCATTTGTTGTTTCTCTCCCTGTCCATTTTTGCCATTCTAACTGGTGTAAGGTGGTCTCTCAATGTGGTTTTGATTTGGATTTCCCTGATGGCTAATGATGATGAACATTTTTTCATGTGTCTGTTAGCCATTTGTATGTCTTCTTCAGAGAAGTGTCTGTTCATGTCTTCTGCCCATTTTTTGACTTGATTATTTGCTTTTTGGGTGTTGAGTTTGAGAAGTTCTTTATAGATCTTGGATACCAGACCTTTATCTGTAGTGTCATTTGCAAATATCTTCTCCCATTCTGTGGGTTGCCTCTTTGTTTTGTTGACTGTTTCCTTTGCTGTGCAGAAGCTTTTTATCTTGATGAAGTCCCAAAAGTTCATTTTTGCTTTTGTTTCACTAGTTTTTGGAGATGTATCTTGAAAGAAGTTGCTGTGGGCGATGTCAAAGAGGTTATTGCCTATGTTTACCTCTAGGATTTTGTTTTTTTTTTTTTTTTTTTAAAGATTTGATTTATTTATTTGAGAGAGAGAGAATGAGAGACAGAGAACATGAGAGGGAGGAGGGTCAGAGGGAGAAGCAGACTCCCTGCCAAGCAGGGAGCCCGATGCGGGACTCGATCCCGGGACTCCAGGATCATGACCTGAGCCGAAGGCAGTCGCTTAACCGACTGAGCCACCCAGGCGCCCCTCCTCTAGGATTTTGATTAGGAGTTTTCCTGAGGGTGACAATACAGAGCTCCCCAGTGTTGCCTGTAGTCTTCCATTCTGGCCAGCAGATGGCAGCATACACTTCTGAATGGCTGCTGTGCCTTCTCCCCCGTTAGGGGTTCAAAGCTTCCTCATTAATTCTGAACGTTAGATTTTAGCTTTATTATAAATGTAACCCCAATGATCATCCTCTGTGGGGGCCTTTAAAATGGAAACTCTCTATCAACTCAGATAATGTGGCCTAGCAGCAAAAGTGGATTTGTAACATTAATTAACTGGAAGGTCATATTGATGACAAGTGACTTATTTCCTGGATGGAATGTAACATTCCACAGATGCCTGCAACACTCCCTCCAACAATGGAATCCGCAAAGTCAAACCAAAGTTCTTGTCTTTCCGTAACTGAAACACAGCTCCCTGACTTACAACAGCATTCTCGTTGACGGTCATGTAAGAGGGGCAAACTTGGGTCTCTTCAGCAACTTAATGCTTACAATTTTTCTTAGAAAGCAGTTATTATTTTTTTTTCTCCTGAGAAATTTTTAAAGTTAACATGGTTACCTTGGGCTTGCTATCTTAAAATATTCTTCGTTTGTTTTTTGGTTCATGCTTCGCGAGAGCCAGGTTCCTAACCGCAGACTATACGTCACATTGTGCTTGCAACGAAGTGCACCAATCAGCTGTCTGGGTAGAGGTACCCACTCGAGCAGCACAATAAATAATTTCTTAAGTATGTTATTTATCCAAAGAGAGTAAAATGTGGTTATTCCATTGAACATAATGGGTTTTGAGGATAAAACAGAGGCAAGAACTCTTGAACTTGGGTTCTGACATGGCCCCCCTGTGATGATGA